ATATGAAATACTTTGGAATTGTGAAACTTATGCTTTGTATGAATTATGTGCCTTGACGAGTGTTTTTGAAATGATAAAATATGCTTGAAATCTTCAGAGTAATTATGCTATGGCAAGTTTCTGAAAGAATCTTTTGATAAGAATGAATGAGTTTCCTTTTGAGCAACGATTATAATAAATTGGGAAATATACTTTGACCCTCAGTAACTATTATTTGTCTATGATCCGTCTTGGACGTTTTGTATAAGCTAATGATTCGCTATAAACGTTCTGTATGATGTCAATCTTTGATGATTGTCCTGTATGGTAATTCAGCAAGTTAATTAAGGCCTAAATCACGGTGAGTAATAGTAATGTAAAGATACGTTCTTAAATAATCATTTTGATCTAGGTACGGTGACTTATTTTGAAATTATGTTTTAATCAAAATGAATGAGTTTTATGAATGTTATACGGCATGTGCAATATGGACCTAACGTCGTTCCGTTTATGCTACGATGTGCTTGGGCCTAAGGCCATTTTGATATATTGGACTCGAGGTCGTTTTTTCATATGTGGGCCCGAGGCCATTTTGATATATGTGGGTCCAAGGCCGTTTTGATATATGATTGGGCCCGAGGCCGTTTTGATATATTGGACCCAAGGTCGTTTTGTTATATGTTGGGCCTAAGGCCGTTTTGATATATGTGGGCCCAAGGCCGTTTTGATATATGATTGGGCCCGAGGTCGTTTCGTATCATGTGTTGGGCTTGAGGCCGTTCTGTGGACCCAAGGTGGCTCTATAAATGTGATTAAAAGAAAAGTACGAACTTCACTATTTGATAAGCTATGAAAGGATCAATGAACGGTATTTGATACTATTTGCTTTCGAAATGAGTTTAACTATGTCAAGATCTTTATATTGATTAAATAAGACATGAGGCTCATTCATTTAACCCCTCACATGGAGATTACTCATTGGGCTTCCAGCTCACTCTGTTTATTTATATGTATGTAGGTGAGCATCAGGGAGTAGGAGTTCCACATTAGAGACCGCATCAGAATCAGCCTTTTGTAAAGCCACCCAAGTTGCACCTCTATGTCGGGGCTTTGGTGTTGTTTTGGCCAAGCTTGAGAAGCTTGGGTTTTCTATAGTCTATGATGTTATAAGTTTTGATTCTAGGTTATGTATATATAATGTATGTGTGTAAATGTTATGGCATATAACATGAAGTGTGAAATGAGATATAATATGTATGTTTCTGATCATGGCAGATATACACAGCTCAATGGACACATTTCATAATTGCTTCCGCTGTAGGCTCCGTATATTTACATATATTCTGTATGATCGTTTGAGGACTGCGGTAATCTACGGATTACTGGCCAGTTATAACCCAAACTTTTAGGAACAGGTTCGGGTCCTGACAATAGTTTTTTGTTGAACCTAGAATGGGAAACCCATGAAGCAAAGTGGAGTTCGAATTACCTTGACTTCAATTACATCTTCTCATCTCCAGTAAAAGTAGCCAATGACTCAAATACAAAGCCAAATGCCTGCAGTAAAAGAAACTCATTCCCAGAATTTCTCACCAACAACCCACCACAACTTTCAAATTGGGTTCTTTCCAAACCGAAACAATCCAAAGATCACAAACCCACCAGTTCAACCATGGCATCTGACCTAGTGGTTGTGTAACACCTTTGTGGTGTGAGATGTCGGGTCCTACAAAGAGAAGTTTGATATCCTTTGTGGTGCTGCTTATTTTTTTCCCATTATCAGGGTTGTATCTAATTAGTAGTGGAGTGGTAGTTGGGCTTGGTCTTAGTAGGATATTGGTTGTTAGCTAGGCTTTGTTTACTTTCTAACTATTGTGAGTTAATAGCCTGTTTGATGATGTAATATTTCTCGTTCTTGTAATTACTTTCTAGTGAGCTAGCAGTCGGTTTGATTTGATGATCTCATACTTGTAATTGCTCTCCAATCAATTAAAAAAAAAAAAACACCAGTTCGTTTTACAGAATTGTAATGAACCCAAAACTGCAATCTTCCAAATAACCCAAGCGTGACCTTAACCAAAACAGACAAATTTACAATTATGCACAATCATACCCACAAATCCACCTAAATACTCATTTATACATACTGTGCGATAATATAGGCAAAGAAATGAAATTGAGAGAGAGAGAGAAGAGACTGACCGATCCATTCAAGTCCAAAGACTGAAGTAACCATCGATACCCAAATGTGGATTTGAAGGAGATGGGTTCGGGAGGGAGGTCCTTAAATTGGCGTCTACCACAGTACACGCAAATCAGCGATTGTAACCCTCTGACGAGTCTGCACTTGCAATGCTCGCACCGGAGATTCGGCGGTGATGGGTCGAACCCAGAAACCGATTCTCGGAGGGGAGGGAGGGGAGGGGGGTGGGGATCGTAGGAGGAGAGTCCGGCGTCGTTGCGGAGCGAGATCTGGACTTGGCGGATCAAGTCTGTTGGGATTTCAAAACCCATCTTCGTTTTTTATTGTGTTGTGTACTGTAAATCGAAGCAATGTTCGTGGTGATGGTAACACTGTCTCTTTCTCTCTATATATATATTTATCTATGGATTTCTCTCTATAAATGAATGTGTTGTTCTCTGCGTTTGCGTTTCTCGGAAATGTTGGGTGATTGAGAGGGAAGACAACTCTGGAATTTCATCACCTCCGTCGTTGGTCGTTTTTTAACAAATTACCGGTTCACAATATATTTTTGTATTTTAATATATTCTATTATTTTGATATTTGATTCATCAAATTTTAATTAGTATATTTAAAGTATTTTATAAATAATTTTATTCTTATAAATATTTTTTTCAACCTTTAGAAATTTGATAACGTGAACATTCATATTTTATAATATGAATATTCATATTGACGTGTGAATATTTATATTGATGACGTGAACATTCATATTGACAGCGTGAATATTCACGTCTTGAAATAGTTACATTGTCAATATGAATCTATATATTATGTAAAGAAAATTAGGTTTTTAACCCACAAATTTTGTAGAAGTTTCAATATTCTAATCTTAATTTCTTAATTTTTTAATTTTTTTAAAAAAAAAACCTCATAATTTGTTGATTTCTCTCAAGCTTTGACTTTTTTCAAACACAAACTTTTCAACTAAACACGCCTGTGTGCACAGAGTTCTCTGCAGAGAGTGTAGAAAATTGATTTGAAAACGTAACCAAACATCATGCGCCAAAACACACGTAGAAAATTGATTTGAGAATACAAACAAACAGAGCCTAACTTTTCAACTTATTGCAACATATCTATGTATTTATAACACATAATTTTTCACTTATTTTTTATACTAGAAAGACAAACCAAGATAAAAAGAGAGTTTCAAAGCCTAGAAGTAATCTTTTCATTTATTTTACAATGGTTCTTTTTTTCATGTATTTTTTTTTTATTATGAGAAAAATGTGATTGTAGTTAGATAAACATAAACAGTCGTAAAGAGAAAGTTTCAAAATCTATAAGTAATCTTTTTATTTATTTTTCAATGGTTCTTTTTTTTTCATTTATTTTTTTTATTATGAGAAAAATATGATTATAATTAGATAAACATAAAGAGTCACAAAGATAACATAACAACTGTAAAACAACTAAGCTCAAAGCCAAATCCTCAACTATTCTTTCCAAGTGTTCATCTACACCCAAAAAAATTTTGTGATTTGCATTTTGTCTAGCAAAAAAAAAAAATTTATAATTTGATTTTTAACTCACTATATTTTTTGAAAAAAAAATTATTGTGTTTTTTAACTATCAATTGACTTAATTTATGATTTGGTTTTTAAATCACCGTGTTTTTATAAAAAAAAATAAATTGTATTCATTAGGTTCACATAAAATACAGATTATTGATGATGATTAGATTGTATTTTGAAGAAAAAAGAATTGTAATTGATTTTTTTAACTCACTGTGTTTTTTGAAGAAAAAAAAACTATTGTGTTTTTTAATTATCAATTGACTTAATTTGTAATTTGATTTTTAACTCACCGTGTTTTTTGTGGGGGGGAATAGATTGTATTCATTAGGTTCACATAAAGTACTCATTATTGATGATGATTAGATTGTATTTTGAAAAAACAAATGTGTAATTGATTTTCTTAACTCACTGTGTTTTTTGAAGAAAAAAAAATGGATTGTGTTTTTTAACTATTAATTGACTTAATTGCAATTTGATTTTTAACTCACTGTGTTTTTTTTGGGGGGGGAATGGATTGTATTTATTAGGTTCACATAAAGTACCCATTATTGAGGATGAATTATTTATAATAATTAGATTGTATTTTGAAGAAAAAAATTCTAATTGATTTTTTTAACTCACTGTAGTTTTGGAGCACGTTGAGTTTCTTCATCTTCATCCCTTGAACTCTGAATTTGAGGTAGGGATTCATACTCACTCTTATGGTCTTTAACATAGATTTTTTGGCAATTTTGATAAAGTGTTGAAATTGGGAAATTTTGGGACTTAGAGTTTCAAAATGTCAAAAAGGGTTTTATTATTTTGATTCTAAAATGAGTATTTTGGGTTTCAAAATAGTGGTATTGATGTTGGTTGTTGATATATGGACCATTGGGTCAATATTGAAAAATGTGGGGAAAAGCCCTAATTCGTTGTGTAAATTAATTTGTATAATTAATTTGGGAAAAGTGTTGGTATTTGGAATTGAGTTGGAAATAATGAAATTGACTCATTATATGGTAGAATAGTGGAGTTGGATTTGTTAATCGCTCACTTTTGAAAACATGATATTTTATCTGTTGGAGCTTTTATTATCTGTTTAGAAATAATTGCTTGGGCTACTGGTGGAGGGTAGTTTTGATTGTTGTAGACAATGCATGATGATTAGGCAAACTAAAACTAATCAATTGGCTATGTCATAAAGTATGACGATTGGTAGAATACATTAACGTTATGTATTGATTGATCGTGTATATGCCCAATGTGTATATACTCTGTGTATGTGTGTGTGAGGAGATAGGGGATGTACTCCACGGTTTAGGGGAAGATAGGGGATGGACCTCTAAACCGGATATTGTTTGGGAGGAGATAGGGGATGGACTCCACTGATACAGCTCATATGCTTGTCAGATTTATGTGATGATACAGCTCATATGCTTATCTATGGAAGTGATGATACAGCTCATATGCTTATTTATAGAAGTGATGATACAGCTTGTATGCTTATCTGTTGAAATATAGATACAGCTTGTATGTTTATCTGTTGAGATGTTGATACAACTAATATGTTTATCTATTGAGAAATGGGAAATGTTTAATATGAGTTACTGTCTCATAGAAATGGTTGGCTAGGTTCTGAGCCATTGATATAATTTGCGAAACTGTTAAGAAATGGAAAGTAGAATGAAACATAGTCGCAGTGATTATGAGATGGAAATGGGTTATGAATTGATTTGTGGAAATTGAACATTTATCAATTGCTAATGTCTTAGTTATTGTTCATACTGTGTTTAGCATATTTCTACTGGGCATTGGCTCACCCTATATGGGACATTATTTTCAGGTACAGGTAGCATGCCACCTCCAAGGACATAGCTTGGATCATGATGAGAGTTGAAGACTCTTTTTGGTTGTTTTATTTGTATTACATGTATAGCAAGCCAAGGGCTTAATTTGTATGGAGTTAGTACTCTTCTTTTGTGTAACCAAGTGTTAACTTGGAAAGCTGTAAGCCTATAGGGCACTTGCTTTTGTTGTTAACATGTAATACTGTTATAAGAACTACTCTGATGAATAGAAATGGTTAATCTCTTTTGTATAATGCATGTCTAAAGTGATGGATTTATGTATTTTTTTTTGGGGCGTTACAATAAACATGAAGAGTCACAAAGATAACATAACAACTGTAAAACAACTAAGCTTAAAGCCAAATCCTCAACTATTCTTTCCAAGTGTTCGGCATATCTACACCCAAAAAAAATTTGTGATTTGCATTTTGTCTAGCAAAAAAAAAAATTTATAATTTGATTTTTAACCCACTATATTTTTTGGAAAAAAAAATTATTGTGTTTTTTAACTATCAATTGACTTAATTTATGATTTGATTTTTAAATCACCGTGTTTTAAAAAAAAAAAATGAATTGTATTCATTAGGTTCACATAAAGTACAGATTATTAATGATGATTAGATTGTATTTTGAAGAAAAAAGAATTGTATTTGATTTTTTTAACTCACTGCGTTTTTTGAAAAAAAAAACTATTGTGTTTTTTAACTATTAATTGACTTAATTTGTAATTTGATTTTTAACTCACCGTGTTTTTTTTTTGCGGGGGGGTGGGGGGAATAGATTTTATTCATTAGGTTCACATAAAGTACTCATTATTGATGATGATTAGATTGTATTTTGAAAAAACAAATGTGTAATTGATTTTCTTAACTCCCTGTATTTTTTGAAGAAAAAAAATGGATCGTGTTTTTTAACTATTAATTGACTTAATTGCAATTTGATTTTTAACTCACTGTGTTTTTTTTGGGGGGGGAATGGATTGTATTTATTAGGTTCACATAAAGTACCCATTATTGAGGATGAATTATTTATAATAATTAGATTGTATTTTGAAGAAAAAAATTCTAATTGATTTTTTTAACTCACTGTATTTTTTAAAAAATAAATGATTGTGTTTTTTAACTATCAATTGACTTAATTTGTGATTAGGTTTTTAACTCATTATGTTTTTCTTTTTATTATGAGCAAAAATGTGAATGTATTTTTAACTACCAATTGACTTCATTTCTGATTGGATTTTAATTCAATGTGTTTTTTTTGGGGGGGGGGAATGATTGTATTTTTTAACTATCAATTAACTTAATTTGTGATTGGGTTTTTAACTCACAGTGTTTTTTGAAAAAAAATAATAATTGAAAATGATTGTGTTTTTTAAATATCATCAATTAAAAAAAAATTGTATTTTATCTAGTAAAAAAAATTATAATTTAGTTTTTTAACGCACTGTGTTTTTTGGTGGAAAAAAAATGATTGTGTTTTTTAGCTGTCAATTAACTTCATTGCTTTTTATTATTATTATAAGCAAAAATGTTATTGTGTTTTTTTACACTCCATTTTGATCACATTGTTAACTGATTGTTTTTTTACACTCCATTTCGATCACATGATGAGGGGAAAAAAAAAAGAATAATTACCCAAAAGTCCTATCAACATTTTTGGTAGTAGCGTAGGTTTTATCAAAAACTTTTTGAACCAATAAGTCCCATTTGCAGGTAAAATGACGTGTTTGCCCTTTAACATAAACAAGTGTATATAAAATAGCATTGACATGATTTACTAGAAAGAAAAAAACAAATTAGTTAACAGATCATTTATGGAAGTAGCTGAAGATTCAAATCGTGAACGATCTTGAAGGATTTATTGGTTTGGTTCACTATTATACATAATTGATTTCTCGGTTTTGATTCAAATAGCAAAGGATCTTGAAGGATTTCTTAGTTTGGTTTGCTTTTTAGGTTAAAATCTGTTGGAGTTTGTTATGTGCGATTTCGATTTATAAATTGAAGAATTGATTTGTTGGATATTTGATCTTCGATCTGGTTTATAGGTATGTATTGTTTTGATTTTGTATATTATGTGTTTTTAGAATTTTCTTTAGTTTTGATTGAATTTATTTATGAGAATATGTTG